AGAACCACTCTAGCATTTTACACACTTTTACACAAGGCAGGCAGAAAATTTAATTAACTTGTAAATAAAAAATATATACATACTATAAAAAAATTCGTCTTAGGACGAGAAATGATTTTTTTCTTATATTCTCAATATAAATAACAATTGCTCTGAATGCTTATGTTTAAATTATGTATAAATATTAAACTTATTTAAATAAATAATAAAAAATAACTTTTAAAACAAAAATGCGTTTATTTCTCTTCATTTTTTTCATTTTCATGTTCGTTATAAGCTTAATAAATATTTTTTATTAAACTATAGTTTAATAAATTTAATATTTAACTACTCTTAGCAGTAAATGTTTACTTATTTAACTAAAATATTTACTCGATGCATATTAGTCAAAAATATAATCGATATATACTTTATACCGAAACTTTTTGAGGTAGTAGTTTTCATCTCATATCTTATTATTTAGCACAAATATTCAGCACAATACATAATTAGCATAACTGTTTAGTACAAAAAACGATACATAATCAACACTTATCAAAATTGTTAACATTAATTGTTAAATTTCTTGATTTAATTTAATATTAAATTTGAATTTATTGTTCCAAATTTTTTTTATTATTACAAACAAAAAGTATCTCGAAAATATACTTCACTAAACTTATAACAGAAGCATTTCACAATTTGATAGAATTTTCAGGTGTGATGTTCAACAACACAAAAAAAAAATAATCACTAAACATTATAATTCCAATACTCTAATTCAAATTTATGTATACAATATATACAATTCTTTATAAAAAAAACATACTAGAAATAATTGTAATATTTTAGAAATTTTTCAATAACAGCCTTATTTGTAAATATGAACCTGTATATTTAGCTATTATCACTTATTATTTGAAGAATCTGAATTTTTTTGATTGCCATCCATTTTTTTTTGTTTTGCCTCTGTTAAACCCTTAACTTGGTAATTTCTTATGTGTGTTTCAGCACTGTCCGGGTTGTTATTATCATCGTCGGTGCTGCTAACATAATCGGTAAGGTCTAAATATTCTTCATCGCTTTCCTCTTCTTCCTCAATACCTAGATCATCATCATCATCTTCAACATCTACAATAGAGTCAACATTTTCGTCGTCTTCGTCTTCGGCTTCCTCAGCCTCTTCAGTGTCTTCTTCGTCTTCACCATCAACATCACCCTCACCGTCAGCATCATCTTCAGTATCAGCTTCACCTTCAGCCTCATCTTCAATTTCTTCTTCAGCAACTTCATGTTCTATATCGGTCTCATCGTCTGTAAAAGTATTGTCTTCATCGTCTTCTTCATCATCGTCATCATCATCATCATCATCTTCATCATCATCATCGTTATCTTCAATTTCATCATCTGTAATACTGTTATGTGATAAGCTTAAATGTTGTTCTTCCACTTGATTTCGTTCTTCACTATTATTTCGACTGCCAAATTCAAAATCCTTCATTAATTCATTTACAATTTGAAGTTCCAAATCGATTAAATCTAGCCCTAACATTTTCATGGACAAACCAACCACAACGTTTTTCAAATTTCTTGATAAAACATAGAAATAATCACTGTTATTCGTTTTAATTTTATCATTCAAATAATTTATATAATGACGCATGTAATATAAATTATATATATCGCGACTATCTATGTCTTCCAAAAACAAATTGTGTGTCACTATCAGTTGTGCTAATATCCAACTTGGTTTCTTCGTTATGGCATCAACGGCATCATTTAGGCACATGCGACTCAATTCATAATTTCTGTAATATGTATATATGAGTGTGCGGCGTAAAAAACTAACGACAACATCTTTCATCGAATAAAACGGTTCGAAGTAGCATAATACTGGAGCTAAGATAGAGCGGGTACGTGCACTATCACATGTTGGATCATCTGCAGTGATACTAAAAAAAGAAATAACGTCAACATTTATACTTATTTTATTTAGAAATGAATAAAACAGAAATACTTACCGTACATCATAACAAATGGCCAATAAAATGCTTATCAAACCACAATCAACTTCTGTGGAATTTGTTATTAGAGGAAGTGGAGTTTCGTATATATCACATATGGCAATGGTTTCCTCCTTAGATAAGGGAGTTTCTTAAAATATCACACAAATTGTACAATTATTACATTGAAATTTTTCACTTTAGCATAAAATTATGTTCTACATGTTAGTATAATCCACATAGTAGTGATCTTCTTTTTAAAAAACGAAGTTAAATTTATAATTGATTTTGATGAAATAAAATTTTGACGATAGATATGATAAGAGAAAATTTATATATATCAAGATTCAATTATTTCTCTTACACCCATGAAATGCAATCTCTAACAATGCACACATGTCAAAACACGTACTTGCTGGTATTGTCGTTCGTAGAACATGATGGATGGTAACAGGACGAAGATCCACTCAACCGCAATCCATTCTTGTTCGAAAACAAGAAAGTATTCTACCTCTACCTAGCTGTTCCTAACCAATCTATACACCTTTGTAATTTCTTTCATGATAAAACTTTGTCCGACTTCTAACAACTCAAACATAGTGTTTGATCCAAATATTAGATTTTAAATGTTGATTACTCGAGGTACTGGTCTTGTACTCCTCTAATGATATTGCTTATGTTGTTGGTAACCTTACAATCAATATTTATACTTCTTATATTAGCACATATAACAATATCAGATCAAGAGACAGGATCAACAACTAACAAATAATTATGACCTGCAAGTATATAGTATGGCTAAAACCTTATTTGTAAACCACTGTGTGAAATCGAGATCTGAAATATGTGTTTATACTAGGAATACAATATTATGTTAGAAAAATATAACATTTTTCTTATTTGCTTGATGAAACTTGAGTAACCTGGATATTAGTTTAAATGCCACCACCTCCTGCCAAATTTTGGTGGTAGTTAAGACATATTAAAATCTTTTGTTCTCTCTACTTTCGGAAGTACTTTCTACTCAAATTAGTGTTTATCACTTATATTTAAGATAAAAAATCATTACAACTTGCTTTATCACATTTAATATATTTCAAACCGTTATATACTTCAGTATAGGTTATGTTATAAATCGAAAAAGTGTGTTTAATATGTACTTACTAGTTTTAGGCAATTATCTAATAATGTACATAGCAAATATGTGCCAACTTTATATATAAAGTTTGTTATGTTGGTACACCCTTTCTTGACATATGGTACAAATTTGAGCGCCATCTGTAAATTAGTTTGTTTACAGCAGCTGTTTATGTGGGACTACCTCAAGTGCATTTAGCGATTTTTACTATGGAAAATTCTTGTTGTATGCGATTTTTTGACCAAACACGGCACCACTGTCATCGCTCAGGCACCATATTCGCCAGATCTGGCGCCGTGTGACTTTTTCCTATTCCTGAAACTCAAATTGCCCCTTCGCGTTTTGAGTCGAGTAATTCGGTAAAAGAGAATTCGTCGAAGGAACGAAGTAACATACCTGCACGGGCCTACGAAAAGTGTATGGAAGATTGGGTTAAGCGTTGGCATATGTATATCGCTTCAGAAGGAGCATATTTTGAATGAGATAAAATAAATTTGGAATAAAATTTAAATTTGTGTGTTTTATTTACAAAATCCGGATACTTTTTGAGCTGGATGTATATATATTTGTATATTGTAGTATACATAAATATATCAATATATATATGTATTGATATATGTTACAACGGATTAAAATAGAATAACTCCCAAAACTTCTATAAAAATTCGACGAGTATGTTTAAAACAAAAAGAGTTAAATATGTATTCATCTATATACCGACTAGCATTATAATTAATAAAAATATAAATAAAATACATATAAATATGGATGCGAAAGTCTATTTAATAAAACAAAGAAGCATATTAATAGAGCACAGCATTAAAAAAATTTAAATTTTTAATATTATTAAGATACATGACAATACTGACCATATATTGGACTATATACTATATATATATACTGCACAATACTATGATAATACTGGTTTGTTAGCTAAAGTTAACTTCAAAAATTTACAACATGCTTAAGAAATAGAATAACAAATTCAAACAGTAAAGTAAGTAATTGGAAATTAAAAGCAATAAATTTAATTAAACTAAACCTAAAAACAATTACTACAATTGAATTAATGTAAAATACAAAAATTTTGAAATTAAACTCATCGAGTTAAATAAGAATATTTTTTTATAAAATGGAATCCATATTAAGTTTGTACAAAATTCTAAAATAAAATAGAATTAACCTTCACTAAACAGATTATTCGTTCTAACATATTTTTTTTAATATACAAACTAAATATCATACTATATAAAGCTGTCGGCATTATATAAAATGCACCTAAAACAGATTTCCCCCACAACAGTTCATGACTGTTATCAAATCATAGATTAAACATACAAATTTATGGAGCACAAGCTTTAATATAAACAACTCTATTATAAACATATAATAAAGCTGTTTTCAGATAAATGTTTATAAAAGGTTTGTTAAATTTGAAAGCATTAAGAATGGAAGTATGTAAGAATGCAACATTTACTAATATAACAATTACATATATATATATATATATATGTATATATATCTTGCGCTATAAATTTATAGCTTATTAGATCTCAAATTAAATTGTTAGTAAACTTCACAAAATTTCTGCAGGCATACTATTCATTTTGTCGATAATATAGTTCAGTAAACTGACTGAATGTATGACTAATTCTCATATCTTTATATATATACATATGTTAATAATGCACCGTTCTACATTAAACTTACTATTGAAATCAGTTTTGTGAAGCTTTGGATCTGGATGTCCTTCTGGAACATATAATTCAAATGCATTGGCTTTATACTGATCGGGGCAGAAATCACTCATTTCTTGAACTTCTCTATCGATAGTGCGTTTAATTGGACTAACCAATGATGGTGTGTGCACATAACTAACTGCAGTTAAATCACTCTAAGCAATAAATTATTATTATTTATGATATTTAAATATATATATTCTATTAGTTTCTTACTTCGCTAGTTTTCAAATTGTTGTTGTACATGCTGGCAAAGCCGTAATAAAAATTTGACTCCGGTGACTTCAGTTGAGTGCAATTGTCAAATTGTATTTGGATCAAATTCGTCAAACACTTAAATTTCAGTAAATTAAAATCGTCTTCAAATACTTTATGAATTTGAACGCCACGAATTTTCACAATGGTTTCTTTTAAGCACGGCAATGTGAAGGTTAACTTTTGCTCCAAAGTGTTGAAGTAAATGACAATATTCGTTAGGTTCTCGAGGTTGAAAAGACGTGGAGCCACCACTCTAAAATAACAGCAATATATTATAATTAATTGATGTATAATTGAAAAATTTACTTGAATAGCTGTGTATCCACATGTATTAATATATATTGTTTATGGCCGTACATGTCCAAATTGCAGACATTATCTATTTTTTTATATTTAGAGCTTTCACAACTTTGCGGCAGCACAAGCTTCACTTCACAACAATTATCAGTATCCTTATATTCAAGCAAGCAAAATGTTTCGGAAGCCATTACGTATTACAATGTAATCAAATCTATTTTGAACAATTCCTTAGGAGTAACATAAGAACAATGAAAATATATTTTCTTCGGAATTTTAATGAAATCTCACGTGTTGACAGATATGGTAACAAATGCAAAAATGTCAAATTTGCCGCTATAGCCAATTGCTCTTTCTCTCTCAATTTTGCACTAACATAGTGGATTTTAGAGCATGCAGCTAAAAAACGACTCACAACATTGCATAGAACAATTCCGATGGGTTAACTGAATCGAATAAAATTTATTTGAAATAATATAAAACCAATTTTTTTTTATAAAAAAATTTATTTCACATAAAAGATTTACCATTCAAATATAATATTTTATTTAATAAAAATTTAGTATTTTAAAAAAATTATATTTCATAATATTCCACACAATTATTTTTTGTAGAGAATGTGAAATTTATTACCATGCATTCAGTTTCCATACGATTTTGGTTTCACGTATTCACAACTTTTGACTTTAATATGATAATATAAAATTTAACTTAAAACACATCGAAGTATATAATCAATTAAATTGGTAGGCCGTGTGCGAGTTCGAGTATATTAAGATAAAGTAAATTGAAATTTCCTAGCAATATTGCGCACTCCAATTATTTACACTTATTGATTGCAGTCATTGATTATTTTTATGTTAAAATTTTTAAATTTATTTAAATTTATTTAAACATCTTAAAAAATTTATTTAAAAAACATCTTATTTAAACATCTTTCACAATGGTAACACTTAAATCACTTAATTTTCATCTAACTTACACTAGTCGAAATTCTGGTATATACCAACATTCGCTGTTATACCGACATAATTTACTATTTCCCTCAATTTACTCGAACTCGCAAACGGCCGTACTTGTGAGTTTAATGACATTCAATTAATTATTTTAATAGTTAATATATAAAAATCGAAACTCTAGTCATATCGGCACAAATGCTCAGAGCGACAAATGCCTAAAGAAAAATATTATTTATAAAAAACGCTGTTTTTCAGTATTTGAAGAATTTGTTGTTATTCACATCAACTAATTACATTTTGGATTGTTAAATCTGGATTTAACCTTGATTTACTCTCAGTTTGTTAAATTTTGTTGCCTACATGGTATAAAAAAAGTTGTATTTGAAATTCTTATAAAATAGTTTTAATTACTATGTTTTGACATGCAGTAAATGCACTTTGTTTACCATTTCACAGAGGAATTATCTGTTCTGAAGACAACTTTCTTAGAGGAAACAAAACAAAATTTTTCAATAATGCAAAGGAAATCAAAATGAAAGAAAGAGACTGTAGTTTTTATTCTGCTATCATAGCATTATTCTATTAATATCTCAGATTCAATAATTATATCTAATAATACTTGCAATAATTCAGTAATAGGTATATTTTTTTTTGACATGAATACTTCAATAAAACACTTTTGCTGTTTAATGCTGTTTAATAATGTGGCATCACCGCCTTTACCCGTAATCATATGACAGTTAAAAATAATTCAAACAAATTTGAATTTATTGAATTTTATAAAAACGTTTTATATATGGTATATATATACATATAGGCAATACGAGATCGTGAATAAATTCAAGATTCACAAATTTTTTTAAAAAAGTACTTTGTTAAAATATTTGAATTTACTCACAAACACTCGCAACAGTTGTAAATAATAAACAGCTGACTATAGTTTTCCATTTTCTTCCAAAAATCATTCACAATAGATCAGTTTTAAGATTTGGCTCCATTGTAGTGCGACGCGCACCATGTGTTTTATTGGAGCATTGATGGTAAAGAAATACAACTAAAAATCAGCATAAAATCATGCTAACTTATTTTAAGCTGTATATCATACCTCAAACACTAATACGTGCGTATAATTATATATACATATTTTGGCAACTTCTGGTATAAATCAGCTGTTGTAAATATCAAGTCGGTTCTCGTCGTTTTTGAGTAAAAGTCAAGTAAAATAAAAGGTTAAAATAACAGGTCTGTTCCACGAGCAATTCGTTGTAACTTTGAGTAACAAGTTCGTTCCACCAGCAAATTTTCGCGTAAATTTTACTTGTATTTTACTTGAGCTTTACTACTAGTAGCCCTAATATCTCCCTAAGTACGAGAACACTCTTATATTAAAAGTCGTAAATCATATGTTTTTATTTTTACTGATCATTTAGTTTGAATGGAAGTGTAAAGATTTTTGAATTTGCTATGTGTTTTGTTTTATTATTATGTTGAGGGAAGTTGAGTCAGTGCACCAGAGCACTTTTACTCTATATTAACTGCTCACTGTGTTTTTGGTAATCGGTAATACAATATTATGTCGCATACACGAACATAATATATACCTTACTTTATTAATAGCATAAAATCTTCAATCTTATTTATGATAATGGATTTGTATTATGTATCTTTATTAGTGGTTTGTAGTGATATGGAGGATAAAGGCATAATTTGGATAACAGTAGAGTTGACTTAGAGATACCAACTATTTCTGATTGTCAAAGTAAATACATATATGATGTTTACTGTTTTTTTTTATTATTTTTCGCAATATCATTATTTACAGAAATTCAAATCAGCTGCGCATTTTAGGTGCGAAACCGGAAATAATAGAATTAAAGTAAATTTTTACTTAAGTACGTACAGGAACAGACATAATTGGGCATGCGTAGGTGTGGTGTGTTCAGATGGTATCTACCATGAATTTTCATGTTGGTAGTACTTTGTTACACATTTGTTCACATTTTTAAAATATGAACTCAAATTAAAGTTAATTAGTAATACATTCACACTGTCTCATTTAGGCACTTCATAATTTTTATTAATGAGTGAACGTTCACATTAAAATGAGCTCATTTGTGCAGCTGATGGAACTTTTATAAACTTAACTTAATAATATATCACACAAAAAATTAAATATAAATTAAATTACATATTGAGGCCAGTGTAAATGCCATATTATATTAAAAACAAGTAACATAACAATTACAGACAGCGATAAGCACTGAAACTGAAATAAGTCGATGCATTGAAAAGGAACTTTTTTTTTTGATGGGTTGTTATATAATGAGTGTGAATATTTATAAAAATTTGTAAATTCATAATTAATTCATAATTTATATAATATGAATTCAGTAAATTCGGTAAGCGATATTGTAGTCTTAAACTTTATTTTTTTTTGAACTAATCATTAAAAAGAATATATTAAGTTTTTAACATAATTTTTAATCTTTAACTTTGGTTTGTCTTTATGAGAAATCTCTAAAGCAAAAATAAAATTTCTATTGTTTCTACATTAAACAATTAACTTTATAAAAATATGAATGAAATTTCAATTTTAGTATGATTTAGTGCCCCTAGATGATAAGGTACGCCTCAGCCTTCTGTAGATCCTTGTTTCATCAATTATGCAATCACTATTACCCATTAATTCTTTCAAATCATTTACACTGTAGTAATGCCAGAAAGAAATTGATTTAAATTTCCATTCGGTGAATATATGAAAAGCTATTGGATTATATCTACGACGGCTCTTCACTAGAAGTTTAGAATGAGCCATAAATTGCTGTTTTATTAAATTTGCTGATAAGAAATACATTAAGGTTTTGCTGTAAGTATCACCGATCTCATTGGCTAAAGTACGTGCTCTATCAAATGTTTGTCTGGCTCGTCTCCAGTCCTGCAAATACCCATAATTTTCACCCACTAATTTAAGTCCTTTAATTTCCAAATCATTTAAATTTAATTCATGAGCCTTCTCCAGTCCAATGTGTAGTGTTTTCAATGCCAGTTCGGAAATGTTTTTACTTTATGTGACAGACAAAATGTAAAAACAAAATCAACATTAAAAAGTTTCAGTGAAGAAGTTTCAGTGACCATAATGATAAGGGTAATATAAATAAAAAATATATGTGCAACACCTACTACGTGTAAACTCTGCCTTTTTCGTAATTGAACCGTGCCCACAAAATATCGAATTCCAGATCACTAAAATATCTAACGTCGTTCTCTATTCTGCTTAGTGAAGCTAAAGCATCATCGAGGTAGTTGTGATTTGTTAGTATGTCAACGTAATCAAGTGTAGTACGACAATATTGTGCCTTATGCATGTATCTACCAACTAACAAAAATTAATTAATATAATTATTTATATTTCAATTTTTATATGTTAGATGATTTACTCTCTGATATAGCGCTAACTGCTTTAGCACCATAACTAGTGGCTTCAACAGCGTCTTCCGTTTGCCTACCCAGTGAAATTAATAGATTTGCGGTAGCATAAGCCACATCCTTATGTAGACTACAAAATATGTCAAACTCTACATTGATTATCTCATCCGAAAGCCAATCTTCACCACGGCAAATAACTTGCGCTCTTTCCAAAACAGTCGAGCAAAAGTCCATATGAACACCTAGAGATTGTATTGAAGCATTGACAAGCCATAAAAATTCACAATTTTGGTTACTCACATTTTTCTCCGAAATATCTTCCGAATTTATAAAAAACACGTACTAAATTTTCGTGGTTTTTCATTTTGCCATCAAATGGCAAGCACATTTTGAAAGCGTACGACAATACATCACTAAAGGCCCACTCATAGCTTCTCAAATTTGCTTCAAAAAGTTTGATGATACGATACATATTTCTGGCACATACTTCCATTCCTTTCTCTCTGTCAGTTGCAAGCGCACCCTCACCATCTCTAAGATTAAAGAAAAATTCAATGAGGAACTTCCGTTTATCTTTGAAACGTAGGTGTATGGCTTGACCTTCGTATAATTTTTGTTCTTTCATTATAAGGCATGAAAGTAATAGTCCTCCCATAACTGATCCATTTTCGTAGAGTTCTTGAGTTAGTGCATCGTATATGTCAATTTTTAAGCGTCTTGCTTCGACGAAGGTGTACGGCACAACTTGCTTACGAAGTTCGTCCCAATCGGGAAGAATTGGGTTTTTCCGAACTTTTTTTTCACGCGTTGGCTGCTTGGGCATTTTGCTCTTTGAGCAATTAATATATGGTGTAAAATTTATTTAGTAGAAGTAAAAACTAATAAAAAAAATATTTTTTTTTGTACATATAATTCATAGTTTTGGAATCAGATGATTATAAATTTATTTTGAACTCTGACAAGAATTTTCAATGAGTTATAGAACAAATTTTTACTGTACATAATCTTTTTATAATCCATCCACAGACTTCTAGTATTTTTTTTATTTTTTGTTTCGATTTAACATTGTAAATAATATTTTAAGCACTGAGAATCAGTGCCTTGATTGTTGTAATTTAATATATATATATATATTATATATCAATAAATTTACTGTACTCGTATACCTATATGAAAACCAAATGAACAAATAAATAAATAAATGAAAGAATGTCAGAGAAACAATTGAACGCATCGGGCTACAAGATTTTGAGACATAAGCCCCTATTTTTAATTCAAGTAAGTCTATTATTCGCTAGTTGAAGATTTATTTCGACAGTCAGGAAGTGGAATGCACTAATAAATGCGAATATTACCGTGTAACAAATAATGAAAGTTAGTGACCACTTCAGAATACTGGCGGACGCTGTAGGGATGCATATATATCATAATCTATTATATTAAAAAAACTGATGTTGTCATTATCAGACATCATTTTGTCCCATCCTTATAAGGTCGAAGATATGCTTCTACTTGTAAGAATAATTTTGGCTTTCTCATTGTCGCTTGCAGGTATCTAGATTATGAGTTTTTTTATTTATGCATGATCTATTACCATAACCATAATCTTAACTATCGGGCTGAATTATTATTAAGTGACCATAATTTTTGCCAAAAGGTCCAAAATATAATTTTTACGATCAATGAACTTATTACGTCACAAGTTTAAAGTACTATACAAACAAAAAAAAATTTAACAACAAAAAATTTAATACTTCGATCACATGTGAAGATGTCCTGAGATCTCTCTTATGTTGTGCCTTTTCCGAGTTAGTGCATCTAGGTACTTTTACTTTTTGATAACTGGGGTTTTCTACAGAATCCCATCGTTCTCACTGAAGGGTATGCCTTGTGATTATTCTATGACTGATCTAAGATCTGCGTACCGCCCCGTGCGGCTAGTGATTAATCTGAGATAAGATAGTGCTAAGTGTGGCAGCCTGTCAATTTTCGCGAATAGCTTTATGGCTTGAGTTGTGATCTTAATAAAATATTATTGAAGAAAGAAGAGGAAAGAACACATGATGATGAAAACAGAATATTGCAGAACAATAAACCCATAACACCGCCGATTAACTTGTAAAGACTAAGATTATAATTATATCGGTTAACATTCAAAAAGGTAAATGCACTTAACGAAAGAGAAACTATTTAAGGTATTTTAAATATTTTAAATATATTAGTGTATTAATTATGAAACATTAAAGCGCTAGTCACAATAAGGAGAAACTGAAAGAAACAAACAACGAACCACATCCAAACCAGGTATGTATCCAGAATTATTTTCTTATGGCTGCTAATATTTAATAAGATTATGGGCACAGCAGAGGTTGGTTTGCTAAGCGAGATTAACAGAGAGTTAGAATATAGTATGATTTAAGATCATATATTGTATTGTATCAATAAACAAAAATGATAGGGTTGAAAGCGAACTCGAAGATTTATGAAAAGTTAAGAGGATGTAGTAGAGAATATAGTAGTCAGCTAAGTAAAAGACTGAAAAGATGACCTCAGAAGCAGAAGCGATAATTAAAATAATGGAGAAAACATATTTAACAAAAAGTAATCTTTATGGTCAACTTTAAAATGGACAATAGTAAAAGTTTAAAGAACGATAATAATATGAATAATGTAATATACGTAGACTGTGTTTAGATTTAGATATTGGTGGAAGTAATGAGATGGATGAATTTTTCAAATCATACGAAGTATGGAGAATTAAAATAACTAGAAGAAAATAAAAAGTGACATAATGGAGAATACAATGAAAAAAATAGAAGAGGAGCAAAGTGGAATCAATGGCAGACAAAAAAGCATATCTAGTAAAGATACTATAAAAATAATAATGAAGAATTGTTTTTAAATAACAAAAAAGAATACGAGTTACAAAATGATGTGTCAACTGAAGAAAATCGAGAAGTGAAATATGAATAACTAGAAAAACAATTTTAAAGAGAATTAGTTTAATGATAATTTTATTGGTGTAGTTGACGTAGAAGAAGAAGAATGAGTCAGAAAAATAATTAGCAAAACTTAAGCAAGACGTAAACATGGGATATGTTAGAAGAGAAAGGAAAGACTCGCTTTAGATAATGAGAAAAGAAAGAAAGATAAATACTTACAAAAAAAGGAAATTGAAAAGGTTCAAGCAAAGAAACAAAATAAGTAAAATAAGTAAAGGAAGAGGAATCCACAAAACGAAACAAACGATGGCGTGATAAGCAAGATAAAATAGTTGAAGAAGACAAAGTTGGTGAAGATGTATTAGTGGGAAATAGGTTGAAAAATTAGAATAATACATGAAAAAGTGAAAAAGTCATACGAAGGCATGTAATAATTAAAATGGATGAACTAAAGTGATTATTTAAATTAAGTAATTAAGTGAGATTTATGTTTTAAGATTTATATAGATTATATAGATCTATTTAAGGTTAATGAATATGAAGAGGAACAGTTATCAAACTGATGAGTATACTAACTGATGTTAAATAAGAATAAGAAGATTTTATAAATTCATTTCTACATTTCATATAATATTAATACAAAAAATAAATATTGAAATAGGTATAAACCAATGGAAACTAAAATTATTACTTTTACTTGAATTGACGATTTATGTGAATTACTTGTTCCTCATATCGCAGATATAGTGACTTCTAAGTCTAGATGAGAAAAAACCCGTAAGGGAGGTATAATCGTTTTCATAGCAATTTTCATCTTTTTATTTGTGTTAGATTTTTGTATTATCTTTTTTATATTTTTATTCGTCATTTACATTAATTTTTGCCAACATTATTTTATATGATCTGAATCAACTTTAACAAAATTGGTATTACAATTTATATTAGTTCAATTAAGTAGCAAAAATAAATTGCTTATGTCCCCTCTACAATATCTCTGCCATTACCACTTGAACACTCAGTAAATCAGCAGATATTTCAGTTGGATGACATTTTGTTTACCTCAAATGTCATAACGACAAATAAAATCGTCATCGAATTGCTTTTTATTTAATTTTTTTTTTCTGATTTTCGTTTTTTCTCTTTAATATTATTTATTCAGAAGCTCAGTAATGTTTGCTTTCACATAGCAAAAGTCTAATCAAATCATTTTAATTGTTTACAAATTGTTATCACTTTGATTATTGCTTACATTCAGCGCCGTGAACGACTTTGATTGGTGGTCACGCCCATATGACCAATAAAGTACCAGCCATGGAGAAATTGTGTTATTGTTTAAGTAACAGTAAAGTTTAGAAATGATTTTCTTTTTGAAGTGTAGATAACAGAAGGAATGGTAAATAAAGGTTAAGAATTGCATTCGTCTGAGGAATATTTAAGTTAAAGTGTAGGAAGAATAAGAGAAATTTCTTTGTCCAATTTTTATGAAGCGGGAGCAGGAGAACAAAATTGTCAAAATGAACTATATTCTGTCATTTCAAAGGTAAAAGGATATCATGATTTATGGGGCCCTAAATAGTATCCAATATTTTGGATCAAATTTTTGAGTTTAAGAAAAATAAAACGTACTATAAATTAAGAATTGAAATGACAACTTACTTACTTACTTATTTGGCCATTGCAACCCGTTACCGAGTTTCAGCCTGACGCGGCATGTCTCCCCAGGCGCCTCTGCTGCGTGCGCGCCTTCTCCAGTCTCGTATATCAGTCCAGTTAGTGCTCCTTCAACTTGATCAATCCACCGGAGACACGGTCTACCTCTACGTCTTCTTCCGCCAACTACTGCTTCAAACACCTTTTTCGCCGTAGCATCTTACAAAACCTTACAAAATCTAATTTTACCGTTTCATATTATATATTAAGTAAATGTATAAACAGATAAAAAATTTCTATATAGAAGTAGTTTAGTATTATTTAAACTGATATATTAACTACTTATAAAAATAATTTTAAAGATATTTGAAGCAATATAAAACGAAATTAATGAACTAATAGAAAGTGAACCAATAATAAGACATATAAAGAAGGAATTTCATTACGAATAAGATTGGATGACAGTGTTCTTCAGGATCATAGAGAATATTTATATCATAGAGAAAATTAAAAAGTGTTGTGACACAAACTTAAATTTTAAATAAACTGTATTTCTTATATGTTTTCATTTGATACCATTATTCCTGAATAATGTGTGCGATTCACAGTCGGCCAGTTGTGTTGAAATATGCACTAACTGATCAAAAGAGGTTAAAAATCAAATGAAAGCCTAATCGTGCTTTAGATACTTGAACTATAAAAGTTAATCTGACAGAACTCAAAATATTTGAGTGTTATAAATGAAAACTGATTAGGTTTCAAAAACTCCTAACTTACTCCTGGGCTGCGTTAAGTAGCCTTCGCCAGTCAGCCCGATCGAGTTCATCGTTCTATGTAATTTGATACTCGTCGTCAACGCGTTAGAGACCATAGATCTTCTGAAGAATTTTTCTCTCCAATGTTTCTAACGGCTTCTCATCACTGTTGTTAATTGTCCAAACTTCGGCACAATACAGCAGAACAGATTTTTGTTTCTCGAGAAAGGGCTTTATTTCTCAATTGCCTACTTAGCCCAAAGTAATATCTGTTGGCAAGAGTGATTCTCCGTTGAATCTGTAGGCTGACGTCCTTTTTAGTGTTTAAGCTTGTTCCTAAATAAACAAAGTGTTTCAAAAACTCCAGTATAATGAAATTTGAAATGAGTTATGTTTATATGTATTTATATTTGTAATAGCACTAGCTTTTCGCAGTCTTTACATATAGTTACCAATAGAGTCTAGAATGAACATTAATGTAACTTCAGATATGTTTTTACTGTAAATTTTTTTTTATACTTATTAAGTCTTATAACAATTTAACAAAAGGAT